GACAAGGATAACATACCTAAATTACCAATTGCAATTTTCCATATTTGGCACGAGGGGGCCCCGCCCACCCTGTGACGTAAAACGTTCTCAGTGACCTCCAAATTTTTTATTCAAATGGTAGACCTGCAGAAATTTTGAAAAAGGTATTCACTGTTTTTTCTTCAATCAATAACCCTTGTACTAGTATTCATTCGATCATCATGTTGGAGGAAGAGGAGACCACGGGAGGTGTGGAGGTGGACGCCACTTCGGATTCAACAACACCGAGGCCTTTTAGGTTCGAGCCGAAGCGCGCATCAGCGTCTGCGAAACTGTCTACAAGTAATATGTCTGAGACTACAAAACAGATGAACGTGAAGAGAACGCTTTGGTTGCAAGTGCTCGCGTGAGAAGCACTGCTTGATGCCGTTGCGGACAATGCAGCATGATGTGGAGCGAGGTCGAGTCGACTTGTTGCTGGGAGGTTCCTGCAGCTTTCAGTAAACGCGGCGAGCAGGAAGGGCTGCAGTGCGTCACGCAGCACTCAGAGTTTGCTGTTGTTTGCCTGCAAAAATCAGTGCTCGAGGTGGCATTGCTTTCCTTCGAAGAATTTCGGGCAAGGTGTGGACCGTGGTCAAACAGGTGAGGATTCACTGAATCGGTTTCATTATTTCCTTTCTTTCCATGTTTCATGTACCGGTACAAAGTAGATGGGAAGTGTTGTGCAATGATTTTGTGTACAGTATTCAAATTCACCAACTTCCATCACACAATCATGAAGTTCTATTGCACCCATGCCAATATAATTATACTGGTACAACGATGTCTTTCATTCATACTATTCCTAGCACTGTAAGTGTTTCAACTGTGTGTAAAAGTGATGTAAATTTGAAAAAAGGCCAAAGTGTCTTTAGTATAGTAGCCCATAGAAATATTAACTCGAATCCGAAACTATTTACACTGAAACTATTTACTTTTACACAATCATGAAGACACTCGTGGTATGTGTATCTACATCTCTCCAACTGTTTTGTGCAGGATTTGGAGACATGTGGCGTATAGACAATACACATGGTTCACCCATGGATACTTTGGACGCAAGCAGCGGCGTGTGATACCGTCTTGCGTGGTATCGAAGATAAAGCAGCTGTACCAGAAGCCAATGCAGATGCGCACTGGGGCTTTGAGGAAGCAGTTGGACATGATGATGATGATGATGATGATAATGCTTCTTGGCCTGGTTGACGTTCACATAATCATTGGTACATGTGCATGCAGAATGTAGAAAACAGTTGACAGACACGATTTATAACTATTCTTGACTCGGGCAATATTTGTGTTTTCGGGTGGGCGCATGCTTTGCACCAATGCAGCTGCACGAACAATCTGGTAAAGTTGACAGATACAATGGCACAAGACTGTACTGTGTTCGGGAGCATGGGGTTGTGCCGGTGCCGTGTGCCGTTGCGAATGCCGAGAATGGTTGTATGCACATCGTTCAACAGGTCCTTCAAGAAGTTGCAGGACATTGTCGTGCAGCTTCTTGGCCACTTTGTGCTCTTGGTGTATTCCAGCCTGTACCTGAGCACACCCTCCTTGGTTTTGGCGTGCGCTCTCCCTATATTGGCATTGTGGGACAGACATGCCGACTGTACCCGTGCTCTCATGCCATTGTACGAAAAGTGGACACGTTTTGGTGCCCACTTCAGTATGACAGCATGGAAAATTTCCAGACTACAAATCATACTGTACCTTGTATTTGTGGCAGTGTAGCTGCAACCGGAAAGTAACGCAATGGAAACTTACAGATAAAGAGAACCGAAATAACACACATGATAACGTTCCATGTACATTACATCAATTCTCGACTTCACTGACTAGGATTTTGAGTAGAGGACTTTGAGTAGGACTGTAGTCGTTTAGAGCTACGTTCTGGACGGCACAAAATTATGCCGTTCACTTACCTCATCGTGCTCACGTTCCTGGAAGTAAATCGAAGATGGTCTGCTTTTGCTGGCAGCAGAGGTAGAGGAGCTACTAACTATTAGTATGACATACACCGTCAAGTTTCAGGATGGCAGAGACCCTGGCTTCAAGCGTCGCTGCTGCTTCTGCTTATAGCCACCAATGCTTTGTGCAAACTCTTGTTGGAAATCTCTTTCATAGCACATCTCAGTGAAATGCTCAGTGCAGACACGATTATTTTTCGTCGGAGAAAAATCCTTCCAACATACTCTCCATAGCCAAGCTGTCGTCAGGTTCGCGTCAGCCAGAGGAAAGCCATGCTACGACAGCCCGCAGGCGCCTCTTTCTTCGTGACATTGTTGCATCCAGAGACGCAGCAGCGAGTCGTGATAATAAATCGGGCATGGCACAGAACAACAAGCACTTCAACAATGGCCAAGGACTTTTCATTCTTGCTTCAATTATTTGAAAATTTCATCTGAGTGGACCGGGCTGAGAACGTTTTACGTCACAGGGTGGGAGGGGGCCCCCTCGTGCCAAATATGGAAAATTGCAATTGGTAATTTAGGTATGTTATCCTTGTCGTAGAAGCTTCCGGTTTTCGCCATTCTACCACTTACGACATACTCTAATGGATTCCGCAATAAAAAATGGGGGTGATTTTGGACCGGAGTTCCCCTTTAAGAGTATCTGTCCCCCACTGTAACTAGATACTAATACAGTCAGAAAGTGCAGCAACAACAACAATGACAACAACAACAACAACAACAACGATGACGACGACGACAACAACAACAACAACAACAACAAGTGCTTGAAGTACATAGAAGGTTGAGATGAAGTCTGCAGCTTACCGCCATCCTCTGTATGGTAGCGATGTGTTCCCAACCTTGATAACCATGGAGTTAGAATATGGCAGTCCCCTAGGGAGAGGCATTGAACATACAACATACATAACTACACATTGGCTAAGGCAAACCCTTCTTGCGCACAGAAAGCACATGTGTTCTCCTCTTCCCCGTGGAAATTCCTCTCGGCCAAGGGTCCACTCAAGGCAATGTGTCCAGGTGTACTTAGTTAAATGTGTGTGTATGTGTGTGCGTGTGTGCTTGTATGTATGGGCTTGTGTGTGTGTGTGTGTGTGTGTGTGTGTGTGTGTGTGTGTGCGTGTGTGTGTGTGTGTGTGTGTGTGTGTGTGCGTGTGTGTGGTGCGACTTGGCGTAGTAGTACAGCGAGGATGACTGCGCGGTGGGAGACGCGGCCGTGTGCCTGTGGCATCTAGGTTAACTACGGTTTGCGCAACGCAAACCAACATAAAAATATCTTTCTCGGAGACGGGAAGCTGTTGGCGCTTGTCGCACTAAAGGTGAAAAGCGCATGCGAATTTCCTGTGAACACCTTAGTGGTACGGTGATTTAGCACAAAAAATACGGTATGACGAGATTTCTATGAGTCATGATGACCAAAACAACAACCTTCTGTGTGAGCTTAGAAGTTGCGACTTCGGCGGTAATAGTCATGAAGTTGATTGTTCCAACTAGGAACACACGCTTCTTGCCGAACTTGACACTTGACTGACTCATGACTGCCATCCGGAGCACACGAGGAGCACGTCGCACCTTCCACTCAGCAAACCTGCAAGAAAGCACCACTCCCTGCTCAATACACGGTGTTTCGGGGAATTCACTTGAGTAGGCTGAGGAAGATTGGGCCTGAAAAGCACCACTTATATACTGCTCTCCAGGCCAAACCATCACCAGGGATACAAACTTACAGAGACGCTTTGTTTCCAGCGCGACAAACACCTCGTGAAGCTCCAGGTAGCAGCGTGAGTCAGAGTCGCTCATGGAGTTGTGATAAACAGACGTTGAGAGCCAGTATAGCTATTCGCAACGCTGTCACCTCCAACAACTAGTCGCAAGTCCGCGTGAGGGACAACAATACGAACTTAGAAGTTGCGACTTCGGCGGTAATAGTCATGAAGTTGATTGTTCCAACTAGGAACACACGCTTCTTGCCGAACTTGACACTTCAATCTGTGTGAGATTGATTTTATGCAGCATAGAAGCGGAGCTGCACACCCTGGTTAATATACTCTTGGGTTTGCTGAACATACTTTATTTCCAAAAAAAGTGGTAGTGACGTCGGCGATAATTTGATAGAAATGGGTTTTCTGCCCACACTGGAGTTCGCGCTTTTCCACTTTTTCCGCTGGAGAGCACAATATACCGGTAAGTTCAGGTACTAGTAAGTGGTGCTCTTCAGGCACAATCTTCCTCGGCCTGCTCAAGCTCAACTGATTCCCCGAAACATAGGGTATTGAGCAGGGAGTGGTGCTTTCTTGCAGGTTTGCCGAGTGGAAGGTTCGATCGCATTCTCGTGTGCTCTGGATGGCAGTCTTGAATCAGTCAAGTGCCAAGTCAAGTCGGCGGAAAAGTGCAAGCTCTAGGGTGGGGAGCAAATCCTTTTCTATAAAATTATCGCCGAAGTCGCTACCAATATTTCGTATTGCTGTGCCCCGCGGGCATGCGACTACACGTAGCTGCTTTGGAGGTGACAGCCCTGCCAATGGCCAAGGGTCCTCAACGTCTGTCCTCGCCATCCAGGAGCGACACTGTGTGTGTGTGTGTTCTATGTGCCCGCACGTAGGCGTCGAGCTGCAGTACAAAGTTGGGAAAAAACTGGTTAGCGAACGAACTGCAGTCATATCTGCTGTAACCGAGTCTCAGTTTGCTGACGATGCTGTGCTATACGCCACGTCAAAGGCATTCCTTGACTGGAGCACGGAGACGTTTGTACCCTGTGCTGCAGGCTGGGGATTGAGCGTCAGCTTAACGAAGACCAAAGCCTTGTCAATCAACACTCCCACTGGTGAGCCAGTTCATCTTGGGAATAACACCATTGAGGCCGTTGACCAGTTCATGTATCTTGGGTCCGCGATTCAACAGGATGGTCTTTGTGCGCATGATGTGCAGTCGCGGACTTCTAAGGCGTCTCGGGTGTTTGGTTGCTTGTGGTCATCTGTCTTCAGGAACCTCCCCTTGTCCCTCCCATGCCTACGTCGTGTCTACATGGCTCTTGTTCTTACGACCCTGTTGTATGGAGCTGAGACCTGGACGACCAAGGCTGCTGATCTGCGCCGTCTTAACACATTCCACCATCAGTGCGTGGGGGCTGTTGTCGGCATCTCGAGACACCAGCAATGGGATGATCGAGTCACTTCTACCACATTGGCGAAAACCATCGGAATCGACTCAGACAACGGCGACACCATCCACGAGCATCGGCTATGATGGCTCGGCCATATTGGTCGCATGGACGATGACCGTCTGCCCAATTGTACACTGTCTGGAGGCTCTCCGCGACTCGGCCTCAGCACGACCCACGCGAGCGTTGGCGGGATGTAGTTGTGGCTGATTTCAACCGCACTCATCCACCTATCCCAGAGAAGGAATGGCTGGACACTGACCAGAACTGCTCGGAATGGAGGGCGGTTATCCACTGCCGTCCTCAGCCCGGTGATGTCTCCGCCGAGCCAGCGTATCACTGTGCATGCGGGAAGACCTGCCGCCGCCCTGGCAACCTTAAGCGCCACGAACCGTTCTGCCGGTTGCGGCCAAAATAGTCCTTTCGCTATCATTGCCTTTGGAAATGGGCAAGTTCAAAGTTCAAGGTCCAAGGTCCAAGGTGTGTGTGTGCGCGCGTGTGTGTGTGCGCGCGTGTGTGTGTGTGCATGCACTAATACTAGGGCTGAAACGATCGTGAATTTTCACGTATCGATTACTCTTTAGCTTAACGATCGAGTAATCGATTATAATCGTTAGCAAATACAGTAAAACCTGTAACTAAAGACCACGGTGACTAGCGACCAGCCTGGTACTACAGTAAAACCTGTAACTAAAAGACCACCGTGACTAGCGACCAGCCTGGTACTACAGTAAAACCTGTAACTAAAGACCACCGTGACTAGCGACCAGCCTGCTACTACAGTAAAACCTGTAACTAAAGACCACCGTGACTAGCGACCGGCCTGGTACTACAGTAAAACCTGTAACTAAAGACCACCGTGACTAGCGACCAGCCTGGTACTACAGTAAAACCTGTAACTAAAGACCACCGTGACTAGCGACCAGCCTGGTACTACAGTAAAACCTGTAACTAAAGACCACCGTGACTAGCGACCAGCCTGGTACTACAGTAAAACCTGTAACTAAAGACCACCGTGACTAGCGACCGGCCTGGTACTACAGTAAAACCTGTAACTAAAGACCACCGTGACTAGCGACCAGCCTGGTACTACAGTAAAACCTGTAACTAAAGACCACCGTGACTAGCGACCAGCCTGGTACTACAGTAAAACCTGTAACTAAAGACCACCGTGACTAGCGACCAGCCTGGTACTACAGTAAAACCTGTAACTAAAGACCACCGTGACTAGCGACCAGCCTGGTACTACAGTAAAACCTGTAACTAAAGACCACCGTGACTAGCGACCAGCCTGGTACTACAGTAAAACCTGTAACTAAAGACCACCGTGACTAGCGACCAGCCTGCTACTACAGTAAAACCTGTAACTAAAGACCACCGTGACTAGCGACCAGCCTGGTACTACAGTAAAACCTGTAACTAAAGACCACCGTGACTAGCGACCAGCCTGGTACTACCGACCACTTCGTCAGGCACGGACGGTCTCACATTCAAAATGCACTGTGACTAGCGACTACCTGCTGAACGCGACCAGCGACCGCCTTTTCTTGTCCCAATGTCGAATTTTGACCCGTAACTAGCGACCGCGATGTAGGAAATCAAACATTGCTCGAAGCTCCTTCTTGAAATTTTGATGATTTTCCATGGTCGTTTCGATACTACAGCTGGACAAATGAACGCAGTCTCATTTTTACTGTGGAATCAGTGTGGACTGCACTACACCTGTCATAATTTCAAGTGCTGTCAAGAACAAACATGATAGGAAACGTCTTGGAGAGCGCATCCAAAGCGCTCTTTGATCGATGTTACTACTCGAAGGAGAAACTAAGACTGAGCGGCTCTCTGTCGAAGTGCAATCACACAGCTCAGTCACCAGGTCACACTGACAGTCTGTGCTGGCTAGCTAGCATGCTACAGTTTTATGTACTCACCTGTACGGAACACAGGCCAGGATACGATGGCGGATACTATATTCTACAGTGAAGGTGCGAAAACTCGCAACATTGCCGCATCACGTACTGGTACACACCAGTACAGTTTACGCTACACTACATCCAAGTCGGAACGACTGAGTTTCCAGTTTCCACTGTAGATCTACACACTGATAGTGATACAGTCGACCTACCCTTATAACGATATTTGTGTCCGACCAAGAAATATTGTTATAAGGGTAATATTGTTATAAGGGTAACTGGTTCATTCATACACATACGTCATAATGCATGAATTTAGTTCATTTTTTACACTCTTCATAGCGTCAGACACATATGTTCATGCACATTATGTGCACAGCAAGGTGCTCACTGGTGCCCCCATTGCATTTCGTCATGTTCCAGCGACTTATCAAGTGAAGCTTGCCCTACCTTGACAGTGGGCTCTACATACTCCCTGCTGGATATTGTTATAAAATGGAAAATGTCGATTGGTCAGCCCATTTTATATTGTTATAGGGGTAATATCGTTATAGCAATATTGTTATAGAGGTAAGGCATTGTATACAAAAGTCAATGGAGTGATTTGGTTTGACAGAAAAATATCGTTATAAGGGTAATATCGTTATAGGGGTTATCGTTATAAGGGTAGGTCGACTGTACCAGTTGCCAGTGTAGTCGCACACAGATGAGGATGGAGTCGATAGTGATTAGTCCACTGCCTGGCCAGGCCAGCGCTGCTCTGGAAACCCAGTGAGTCGACATACGGGTCGAAAGATCGTATCGCTTCCGGTGTATAAAAAACTTGTTTTTCTCTCTCCAAGTGTTGTATGATCTGAAAGAAGAATGTCAGTGCGCAAGTGGTGGGGGATTGTATTATCTGCATTTTGACATACATATCATATAATGGGATCCATATATGGTCGCGCGATGCAAACCTCTAACTAAAGACCACCTGCCACTAAAGACCACTTTTCCGGACACCAAGGGGTGGTCGTTAGTTACAGGTTTTACTGTAGTCATAATTCTGTGCAAACATTACTCTGTTTCCACAAACTATGCCTTCATAATACAGTCGACCTACCCTTATAACGATAACCTCTATAACGATAATACCCTTAATATAACGATATTTTTCTGCCAAACCGAATCACTCCATTGACTTGTGTATACAATGCATTACCTCTATAACAATAATTGCTATAAAGATATTACCCCTATAACGATATAAAATGGGCTGACCAATGGACATTTTCCATTTTATAACAATATCTAGCAGGGAATATGTAGAGCCCACTATCCAGGTAGGGCAAGCTTCACTTGATAAGTCGCTGGGACATAACGAAATGCAATGGGGGCACCAGTGGGCACCTCGCTGTGTGCATATTATGTGCATGTATGTCAGTTTTTATGCTATGAAGAGTGTAAAAAAAAGAACAAAATCCATGCATTATGACGTATGTGTATGAAACGAACCAGTTACCCTTATAACAATATTTCTTGGTGTGACGCAAATATCGTTATAGGGGTAGGTCGACTGTACCAACAAATCTGCAAGGGTAGCTCCGAAACATGGCAGTTTTGAGGTCAATTTGACCTCAGAACATGAACCATACCCCTGGCAACTGCATACTCCCAGCGGAAACTGATTCAAACTCCACAAAACGAGGGTGTACGGTACTTTCTGGACACAAATTTAAAAAACGCAAAATAATCGTTATCGGTAATCTAAACGATTGCTCGATCGTTAGAGTTATCAAACGAGTACTCGATTATTCGGTATAATCGTTTCAGCCCTAACTAATACCCGTACAATACATGTATCTTGAGTGGCTAAAGGCCAAAGTGCAAAGGGTAGAAGAGACAGACAGACATGAAGGGTGGTAGCAGAGTCTAACCCTATGAGCCTGATTTGGACTAGGCATTTGTTTTTCGCCAGCAGTGAATAGAAGGTGCTGATAATATCTGTAAGGACAGTAAACAAAAGCACAAGTACAGTGAAATCTGTGACTAACTACCACCCCTTGGGGCCAGAGAAAGCGGTCTTTAGTGGCAGGTGGTCCTTAGTTAGAGGTTTGCACCGCACAACCATAATGACTGTGAGACCGTCCGTGCCTGGCGAAGTGGTCTTTAGTTCCAGGCGGGTCGCTAGTCATGGTGGTCTTTACAGTCCGTTTCAAAAAGATTTACAATCCTGGCGATCGCCCGCGGAGTTTGGCGTCTTACCGTATGAGCACTCGAGCGCTGCCTGGAAAAACTCACTGTGAACTCGAAGAAATATTCCGCGCGAAAGCAGGAAAAATGACAAGTCACACACGTTGACACAGTCATGTACGTCTGGTTTACAACAAACGAGTTCTTCCTCGTATCGATAATGGAGTCAGAGAGAGGACATGTCGAAACGAAAGTGTTGTAAATGTTGACGAGCTGCGCTGCATGGGTCCGTTTTGTGACCAAAATAGTTTCTTTGAGCTGCGATGCAATTTACTCACCGTGTGACGAAAACGACATCGACACGGACTCATTCCCAAGGCCATGACTTGGCAAAGCTATCCGTGTGACTTCGACGACATTTTGAGAAAAGCAGACGCTTGTGAACGCTGATAGAAGACGGCGTTGACTGCTAAATTCAAATAAATTGGCGATCTTGAAATACTAAAATAAATCTCAAAAAGCTACAGCGCGATGACTTCCATTATAATTCACTCACACCATTGCAGTGTTGTGGGTGTGTTCACATGGCATGAGCCAGTCAAGTGTCAGTTAGTTCGGCAGGAAGCGCGAGCTCCAACAACAAGTCGTTTGGTGCAGCCATCTTCATTGTCTTGTACCAGCTTGATCACCAAAACAATGAAAAAAAAGTTTGACTTGAGGATAGGTTGGGATTTGAACTCACAACGTCATGGTCAGCAGACAGCATTCATAACCACAAGGCCAAAAAGGAAAGGATAAATCGTGGGTTTTGATAAAAAATCGATACTGGCTTCCTGGGCAAATTGTAAACCATGGGAAAAGGCCGGAAACCTGGCCGAAATTCTAACTCCTTAACGGTGGGTCCAATTGTTCCGAAACCTTCACAGAACAATTTGCCGTGTCCTAACAAGCCATTCTATGTACTTTTTTTGTCCAAATTTCCCTGATCTTCATACTTTTTAAGACCCAAACCTGATTGTAAATCTTTTTGAAACAGACTATAGTTACAGGTTTTACTGTGATACTATCATGATTTACTGGACTAGTTTAAACTGGAACACCGCAGGCAGACAGCTAGGAATGGACAAAAGGAAGGGCCTGGTTTAAATCTGGCTTTGGAAATTTATTTTTCATTGCTATCAGGTTCGGCCTCGTTTTCACTGTGCTGCGCTGATGAGTCCACAAAGGACGAAACAGTTCTGCCCGCAGATCGAGTAAAAGGAAGGGCAAAAATATTACCGGTGTGAATTTTCGGCCAAACATGACCAGGCCAACGGATCAAGATTTTGTACGTGTTTGGATGGCTATCAGTCATTGTTACATGCGTGAAGTACCATGTACTAGAAGAGGCGACGGTTCGATACCTGAAACGGCTTGACAGCCAAATTTGTATAGACCCAAACCGATCATCAGCGTTGATTTTTCACTCGAAATATGTTTGTGGAAGGAAACTGGCATGTTGAAGTTTGCTCTGGGGCCAGAGTCAATCGAACTGAGCCACTCCTTTGTGTTGACCAATTGCCTCCAAGTTGCCCAATTTTTCGCTTCAAAAAAGTTCAAATCAGAGGTGGCTCCAAACCGGACACGTTTTAGAGTGCACGTCAAATTCACTCTGGGTCTGAAATTAGGTAATTGCTATCGCTCCACGACGGCCAGTACAGAGTAACAATAAGCCTTGTGTGTGCTTCCATTAGTTTTGATTGGTATGCGGTGCTTTATTGGCGAGAGGCGAGCCGCTGTTTACCTGCCACAAGAAGTTGATTTTTCGAAAGTCGTAAAACTCAAGTCGCAGTGCGAAGCAACACGTCAAAAACTCACCTGCTTGGTATGGCGCTTCTGATCATAGCAGAGCCATGAAATTTTGGCTCGGAGTATAACACATCGTAGTCTCACTGTGACATATGTTTTCTAATCAAAATACCAAGAGAGAAAGTGAATATTGAGTCCGTTCCGGTTTGCAACCTGTGTCCTATTTGAAACCGTCGCCTCTACCATGTATACGCCCGTCGCAAGAGAAGCATGCAAATCTGTAAATGCACTGGATGTGCACCCACAAATTTTTTTCTCTTCTAGCAACGACAACGGGCAAGATCTGCATGAAATCTTTGTTGGGACAAATCAGACGTTCAGCATTTACCCCAACCAAGGACCATGCTGTTTGCTCTTTCCACTTCCTGAAGATGGATGTGATGCTTGCTGGCGACTCTCCTATCTCTCGTAACATCTTCTGAAGGCAGGTGAGACGATACGATGTGCACAAACCGGGGGGGGGGGGGGGGGGGGAGGGAGATTTTTCAATCGTGACTTTCTACACCAACGCGGTCACAGTAGGGGTGAAACGAACAAACGAAAGTTCGAATATTCGTTCGAAAAATTTGAAAACGAACGAACTCGCAAGATTGATAAACGAACACAGCAAGCAAGCATAAAGATCGCTTGTGACTAGATCACGAAGGAGCCGCGGAGGTTGGGAGATCGCGAGCTTGCACGCTGATCGACTGCGTTTGCCTTGATGATCACTTGAAGCAAGTTGAAGGAGTTGAGTGTCGCGTCGGGACAAAGTTTCTTGAAATATTTCTGTCTGTCCGTTTGAGTTAGATTTGTACTCGTAGTGAAAGGATTCGAGTCGCTTGTGACATCTGTTCCTGAAAGCAAACGCTCACTCGTTGCAATCATGTCAAAACATTCGAGCCTTTCATCGCGATCCGGAGTTGAAGCGGAATTTGATAAAGTGGTCGGGAAAGATGAAGTCCTTTTCTCAATTTCAAAAAGGTTCTATCACACAGCAGAGCGACGACGAGCAATCTTCGTACCCACCTCAAGAAGTACCATTCTCCTGCTCTGACGACCTGAGCTAGCGATGAGAAGAAAACTCTCATCTGGACGATGGTGATGGACTTTGCAGCTAGCTGCAAAACCCTGTGATTCCGCTCAGGCGGACGCGATAAAAAATATATTTATGTTCTGGCAGTGTATCGTACACCGTCAATACTGAACTGTGGCCAGCCAAGTACAGAGAACGCCTGTACTGACAGACTGTATGGTCTTCAAAAAAAGATTCATCCATGAAATACATAATGGAGAATGTTCGTTCGAGTTCGTTCGTTAGTGTGAGAGTTCGTTCGTATTCGAAATTCGATGTTCGTTTCACCCCTAGGTCACAGTAGGTGTGTGTGAGAAAACCCGATCGATTGGTCCTGAGGGACTCAACGCAACGGACCAGCAACCCGGGCCCGCACCCAGCCCCCAGATCCGACCAAATAATTACAGCCCGAATGACCAATATATTGGACCATGACAAAGCTAAGGACAAGCATCACTTACGATTTGTTTTACTGGCTAGATCCACCTTGAGAGCACGATCTACAAATATGATGGAATAGAAGAAGCATGGGTGCGAAACAGCATGTGTGATATGTAATTTTTTTATCCTTTCAAAGTGGAGTAAAACTTCTGCTAGCGCCGAGCGGTCTATTCGCAGCGCTGTGCAATCACATGTCTGATCGGTCATATCTGGATTCACATCAATCCAAAATGGGTGCACGTTTGTTTCAATAAATCCAGATCCAGGTCTGACAAACCTTCCCCGGGGAGTAGTAGCTCTGGTTCTAGATTTCAGTGAGCCGTCGCAGACACTGTTTTATGCAGCACTTTAGGGGCCATCCAACAAGCCTTTGCAACATCCTTCCCCCGTTTCCTGGGGCCATGAGGCAGGCGCTTAGCTGGCAGGGCACCGCACATCAGTTGCAACGGAATGTGATTCCCCATCCGAGCAACGTGTCGGAGCCACCAGAGCCGGCGCCTCTGAACCTTATCGACGACATGCACACACACACACACACACACACACACACACACACACACACACACACACACACACACACACACACACACACACACACACACACACAAACACACACACAACATATTCTCTAGTTTACAGCTTACAGCCATCTACTTCAGTTCTCGACGCATTGGGTGGCAATCTCATTCCACAATACGAAATGCTGCGCTCGAATGAACAACTCATTAGAGAGGCATCTGCAGTAGGAAAGTAACAGAAATTGGCAGCACACGTGTACATAAGCTTCCGAAGCGCCACCAACCCCTGGCATACATGCAAAAGAACATAGCTCCAATGCTGGTAGAGCACAAAATCACGGCTGCATGGCCAGCTCTCTGTCTGGCTCGCTCTACTGGATTCTAGACTGTATCAGTACTATCACTTCAGGCTCAATTCGCATTGCAAAACTTCCTTGTGTTTCCAACTAAGTTACTAACTTACTGAAGAAGAAGACTACTGAAGGCTAGCCGAAAGGAAAAGCAACATGGTATTATAACACAGCAGCAGGCCGAGCAGGGCACATGTGAAACCAGAGACCCGGACCCGTCGAAGCATGCAAATGAGGGCCGCTCTATCGCCTGACATGAATGCGTACAAAGAGAGCGTAAGCAGACAGCATTGTCGTGCACTAAGATGCCGACTCGCGTGACCGTATTCATTGACTCGCGTGACCGTAACACAGCACGACGATGAACATGACAGCCAGACTACTCCAGACATGAATGCAGGAAACCAGTACACATGACCATGCGTGCACACTGCGATATGATATACGATGTGTGCATGACCTTTCCACGCACTCTTACTGGTCATGTCGCACACATGTCCAGTGCTACAGTCGTCTGCGTTCTTGCTAAGAAACGGGGACACGGCACATGCACGTCAACAAATCTCTAGCTTGGTTCATATCTCCTTGGTGCACAGCATGGCCACATGGCCCAGAACATCTCAGCCGCTCTCAGCCACTCCTGGCCACTCTTAGCCGCTCTCAGCCATTCTCGGCCACTCTCAGCTACTCTTAGCCACTCTCAGCCACTCTCAGCCACTCTCGGCCACTCTCAGCCACTCTTAGCCACTCTCGGCCACTCTCAGCCACTCTCAGCCACTCTTAGCCACTCTTAGCCACTCTCAGCCACTCTTGGCCACTCTCAGCCACTCTCGGCCACTCTCAGCCACTCTCGGCCACTCTCAGCCACTCTAAGCCACTCTCGGCCACTCTCAGCCACTCTCAGCCACTCTCAGCCACTCTCGGCCAAACTGTCAGGCAATGCCACCAACTACAGTAGCAATGTAGACACGGAAAATGCACGTGTGAAATTGCAGACAGCCGCGGTGAATGCAATAAGAGAAGAAGATGGCTCAGCTCAAGTGACACGTTTCTTCTTCTCACAAGCAAGCAGAGAATGTGGACACGGAAGCCTGGCTCACCTACACTCCATTCAGATAGTATAATCAGAGCCCGATTTGGGCCGAGTTTGGGCTGAAAACCTACTAAAAATTCGAAAGATCTGGGTTTGGGACGTGCATCTCCATACATTTGACTTGATATACCTGTCCTAATATTGAAAAACCTGGCTGAATTTCTAACTCACTGTTCTTGCTACTTTCCAAGCCTCAATCATGGCAAGGAAGACTTACACATGTCACACATATTGCATGCAGGATGTACAGTTGTTTTCACCACCAAACCTAACACTACACATGTCAGTTGCTTTCATCACCAAACCTAACACTACACATGTCAGTTGTTTTCATCACCAAACCTAACACTACACATGTCAGTTGTTTCACCACCAAACCTAACACTACACATGTCAGACAGGAAGACGTTAGGATGCCAGTTGTTTGCACGACGGAACTGTAAGCACAACTTACAATCGTAGCAAGTGATGTCATAGCCTGTCCAGCGACCGTTGGGTAGGCATGTACGTGAAGTGTCACCACCGACTTGACGACAACTGGCCGCGCACTTGATGACGGTGGTATTGCCAACATTGGTGCCGCTTTGATGCAAAACAGCATTAACAGGCACCCTGAGCGGTGGACATTCCGAGTTACATAATGAACTGTGTCCAGGGGAAAAAGAGCAAGATCAAGAACAAGAACAAGATGAAGAATTTAGTGACCAACACACATGCAGTCAATACATGGAGAACCTACACAGCACAAAAGAATCACATCAGTGTCGTACCCAACTCTGGTAGTCGCTACAGCAGGGCGCGAAATAACGGTCGGACATCGGACAATTTCCGACCGTTTACGGTCAGTTTCCGGATGTTTTGTACATATCCGGACAAAGTGTCCACGCACCTTTTTGCAAAGTACAAAAAAGAAAAGGCACTTCAATCCTTTGTCTCATAGTCATAGCCCAGAGGAGTCAAGACGACCACTTGTGACAAGTGGGTCGCCGAGTATGATAGGGAGCTTTCAACTTCTGTTTGGCTGAGCTATGAGCGCAGTACCTCAGATCGTAGCGTTGTCGAAAATTTGAAGTGTAAGATGTGTTCCCGTTTTGCTGATAAAATTCGCAGCAGCAAGAATTTTTCTGAGTCCGTCGTCGTTGGCTCAAGGAACCTGAAAACGTCAGCCTTCAAAGATCATGCTGCTTCTGAAATGCATCGTCGTGATAACATTTCGATGGTATTAATTCTAGACTGAACATTGTGTGATTTGATGTGAAAGTTGCATGTCCGGACATGTCCGGCCATTTTTCCAACTGGCAGGACATTATGTCAGAGCATATTTTAATCCTTAGCGCATGCCCTGCTACAGTATTTCAATCCTCATGCTTCAGACCTAAACCTGGTGTCATGCCACCGGCAAAAGCCGTCTTTGATTGGTCCGGCCATACCCTGGTATCCTAGCCTCTCATACAGTTTTGTGTATGATAATAGTGGGTACATATTCACCCATACCCTGGTATCCTATAGCCTCTCATACAGTTTGTGTATGATAACAGTGGGTACATATACACCCATACCCTCCTCACAGTAACACACACATTGGCGACCTAAAAGTTGATCCAGCCATGGCCTGACCAACCGGACCGGTTCCGCCGGGCCTGATGTAGGAGAGAAGGTTTTGCTTTTAGGAATGTGATGCTGTCTACTCTCTCTCTCTCTCTCTCGCGCTCTCTCTCTCTCTCTCTCTCTCTCTCTCCTCTCTCTCTCTCTCTCTCTCTCTCTCTCTCTCTCTCTTGATATCACCCAATGTACTGGCTTTGAAGACTAATGGTGCGAAAGGCCTCATCGAAAAAGCCAGTGGCTTTTTTGTGCTAACATGTTCCCGTTGCGTGCACAGATCATGTGTGTGCAAACCTATGGAAAACCTATGCAAACAGCTTCAAGGACCTTCAACTGCTGTATACGACGGGCACGACAAAGTACAGAGAAGCGAGACATACTGTAAATCAACTAATTTTCGCTGGCGATTTAATTTCGCTGATTTCGCTGCTGGGTACCAACCGGCGAAAGTAAATCGAAGGGCCAAAATTTGTCATAGAGGCAAATCATGATAGAGCCATGGCTGCCCGTGAGAGCAACAAATACCAATCGATTTCTTTTTTGAAAACCCCAATCGGCCAAAGTTAAATGACGGCCAAAAGTTTCATTTCGAGATCGGCCAAAGTTTCATTTCGAGATCGGCCAAAGTTTCTCACCAGCCAAAATTTGTTGATTTACAGTACCCAAACAATCAGAACGAGACATCAAATGCAGGAACACAGCTGACTTCTTGCGAACACTGCCTTCATCTGCTTCCTCACATTCCTTCCCGCCTGACCTCTTCCCTGCCGTCGCCCGTCTCCTAGTTCTCGCCACCATCCATCCCATTGTCACCCGTATCATCCTGCACCTCTACAATTCTGTTCACATCCGTGACCATCTTGTCCTGCCTTTGTCGCTCACAGGCAGTCCCTCATCATCAGAGAGGTTCCGCATAACGAAATGACGTTAGTAAAAAACCGTAGTCGATCTACGGAAAGTCTTACGTACACTGCATGCCGATCTGTGTTCCGCCATATGGAGTTTTTGAATCACGTAGCTGCCTATGGCAACTCCGAACGCGGCAGTGTACGACTGGGTCGACCTGGGGAGTGAGTCATACATGTGTAGAGTAGAACCCGGGTTAAGGGTCATACTGGATTAGGGATCAGAGCCCGGGGAGGGGGGGGGGGGGGGCACTTGGCACGTACAATGTGCGGGTGATCCTTCGGAGCCCGGGCCGGGGGGGGGGGGTCACTTGGCATGTATATTGTGCGGGTGATCCTTATACCGGGATTTAATTCCCATAGCTATGCAGAAGACGTTACTTCAGTAACGTCTGGCGCTAGCCAGGGTCCACACAGCTTTAATTTGGTGTTTGTTTGTTTGTTTGTTTGTTTGTTTGTGTCACGCCTGGCGCTATCCCGTATCTGTCCCGTACCGTACCGTACCGTACCAGCCAAGACAGCTGGCCACAATATATTTTGGTTTGTTTGTGCCATCGGCATGCCTGACGCTATCCCGTACCTGTCCCGTACCATCAAGAATACGGTACAATCAAGAGAATGAGTATATATGCGGAGTGTATCGGGGGAATGCATTCAGTGCAGTAACATTTTGTGTGGATTTGTGTGCGAGGCCGAGATCCCACTAGGAGGCTGGCTGGGCCGGCTGTCGACCAGCCCGGGAATCGCATGTAGGCCGATAGCATAATAATTATAACGTATATAGATGTATAGCAGGGAGTCGTATTATGTAAACGACTCAGTGCTGTCTAGGGAGATTTTCTTGAAAGAAATACGAAGTAGGGAGATGAAGAAATGCAATTAGAATGGACGTTAGTTGCCGAATATGTGACATGATGCGTCAGCTAAAACAACCTTTGGAAGAGAGATCCCGTCGTCTCCAAAATAATCCTGAACGGGCGAGTCAGCGCCAGTCACAGGAAACGTCGGAAGAGAGATCCCGTCGACTCCAGAACGTCCGTGATCGGCAGAGTCAGCGCCGGTAACAGGAAACGTCGGAAGAGAGATCCCGTCGACTCCAGAACATTCGTGATCGGCAGAGTCAGCCCCGGTCACAGGAAACGGCAGGACAGACATCGCGTCGACTCCAGAACGCCCGTGATCGGCAGAGTCAGCGCCGGTCACTAGGGGTGTGCGGATAATGCTCGAAAAGGTGGCAGATTCTGCTCGAAAAGCAGTGAAATTGGCAGAACCATACAAACCTATGGCGGGCAATTCCTCGAATTCTGCTCCATTTCTTTATCCACATACCAAACATGCAGGAAACTTACCAAAAAAATACCGAATTTGCCAATTTTTCTGCCGGCATTATCCGCATATGCCTACCGTTCACAGGAAACGTAACAAAAAAATTAAAAATTAAAAATATACAAAAAATATTAACGCCGTAGCAACAGACGTTACTTCAGTATCGTTTGGCGCTAGCCAGGGTTCACACGGCTTTGGCACGTCACATGCATGATGAGCAAGCAAAAAAGCATAGCGTAGGGCCCTGAGCTTCCAATTTCTCTCGTTTCCAGCCCAAGGGGGGTCCCCCGTCGGTTTCCGAGGAAGCCGTAACTTTTTTCCCTCCAAACTATTTTTCCGGGGTCCATCTACTCACAAGAAGTCGTTTTGCACACCTTTTTGCCCATCCCTGTACAACTGAGTCCAGTTATGTCCGCGCAGAGTTAGGTGGACCCATAACCCGGGGTTCTACTCTACCCCAATCCACGGATGGAGCACCTCCGCTATCAGAGCCCTATCTACGTACTCTACATGGACAACGTGGACTGGAGCTGCACACTCAGGGGTTATGTACTCTGCAGGACGGTATACAGAGTCTAGTATGCTGCTAGCATGCTTGCTTGACATCCTCCATCCATATGTGCTGGCAAAGTGTCTTAGTACTTCATCAAAAGGCAGTGACTTTCTCTAAAGACAATCACGGCCAAAAGAGGTGACTCCGTGTTCCAAACAAGGAAGTGCCACGGTGCTGCCCATTTTCAAAACTGGAAATAGATGCCAAAAGGGGAGGGGAGGAAACAGCAGTAAGCCTGGGCTGCATGTTTGCAAATGCAGATTGGAGAAGCTTCCGTAAACTCCAGTCAGAGTTCTAAGAGTACTAGACACCCAGAAGCATTCATGAGCACTGTACATGCACCGTGAGAACCGATCTGGTGGGAGATATTCCGTAGTTTTTTTCCTTTGCCAAACCTGTGACTACTTCCTAGGGAATTACTCCTATGAGATCGGTTGTCATTGTACACACACAGTGATCATATACATGTATGTGCAAAGGAAATGAACTAGAACTGATAGTTTTTCCTGCTATGTAATCACTTCTTATGTGTTGCAGGTGGATTTTACCTTGTCTGGCCTTGAGCTTGACTTGAACATGCCAGCAGCAGTTGCAATACCATACACGCACCGAATATAGTGTCAGCTATCGCCAGTCGCCACCTGCGCCTCCCCGCCATAACAGGCATAGTCCACGTGGTGGAGGGTTGTGTGGCTTTGCGGCGAAGGAGTGTGGCAAAGGTTGGCAGGCCTACAGTCACTACAAACTGGAGAACATCCACGACACTTTACTACAATACTAGCAGATAGACTGGACTGTTTAGAGTAGAGACGATACCAGCAGTAATAGCTCAAGTGGAAGGGCGAAGGAGACAGCCAAAAAACAACTTGGAAAAGGCTGGAGCTGGGTGGTTCAAACAGATTTCGAGTGGAAGTTTTATCGTTATACTATTATCGTTTGAAAGTACTACAAATAAATTTCATAAGAGTGTGCTAAGAAAACCTGGGGTATTATTGACAAATAAGGAAGGTCTAACCCTTCTCCGCCTCCAGAACAACACGGAGGAAGCGTAAACAAAAAATAAGGGATGGATGGGGGTGGTACGATTGGGCACTGTTACTGGAGTGCAGGGAGTTCCTCCTTGACTTGAGTGCTGCCGATGGGTCGATGTTTGCATGTCAAGTGACGAAGTGTGTACCGTCCTTGGTTGGATGGTGCGCGCGCGCGTCTTCACTCACGTATCGTGTACGGTACCACGGTACAACTGGCCCTTCAAGGCCTTGGGCCTGTGTGATCATGGTGATGGTTTCGATGCAAGTGAGTGAACCAGGGATGTAGGCAGAGCTGAAAAAGCCTCTCTTGTATTCATGATCATGATCACCAGATTATCACACACGTGGGAGCAAGCTTCCTTATGTGGCTTCTCGGAACGATCCCATGTCTAAAAAGTACGCAGAGGATCTACATATGGCCGCTCCCCATGCATGCAAGATCAAGAGCTGGAAATTCGAAACGGAGTTGTTACCAGGGCCAAGGGAGTCGTAGACCCGGGTGCTCGAATCAGAAACGATTTGACAGGTGTGAAATTTCTCATCTGTAAATCTCAATATAAATGTCAGAATCAGGGAGTCGACGTACGTCTAGACCCGGGAGGCACGCGCATCACTTGTGCACAACCATGATCGACTGAACGATTCAAAATATTACGACCTGCTCGGTGTGGGACAAGTCCGTACATAGGTCATAGCGCGCGGGAAATCCGTACATAGCGAGAAATCGTCGTCTTCGTCCTTTCGCCGAACAATTGTGGTCAGACTTTCGATCTCCATTGCCGAAATACAGCCATCTGTGGCCATCGCTGAGGAGTTCACTAATAAAGGGTCTTGTTCACTGGCTTTGCACTGCCACTCGAACTCTGAGGCACTTTGACCAACTAAGATGAGGTAATCCTTTCTTTACAAATTGCCTCAATTTGTTCTCACCTTTAGGGCAATGAAGTAATTTTTTTCCTCGTGACTAACTTCGACAGACCAAGTTGCCCTGTCCCAGTGATCTACAATACTTATATTGCACATTTGTGAAATATTGGACCTATCCAGATAAACGAAATGACTTTTATTCGAAATTACATTTTCCAAAGTTTTCCTTCACAAATAGTCCCAATTTGTTCTCACCTTAAGGGCAATGAAGTCAATTTTTCTTGAGGACTAACATCGGCTAACAAAGTGGCGCTGTCCCAGTGATGTACAATACTTATAATCATTGCACATGTGAAATATTGGGAGTCACAGAGTGAGGAAATGGCCTAAATTGAAACTTGAACTGTTCTGCCAAGTTTTATGCAGTGAACGCAGGGCTGAGAGCCCGCAAGAGCCATCCCAGAAGATCTTGTGCGCCACCAACCGAACCTTCAGTGAATGTTCACAAGGTTAGAAGCTCGCACACTCGGATAACACACATTGGATGCTAATAGTAATACAATGCCCTCAGGAATGTGTGCAAATACAACAGAATTAATTCCAAATAAAGTCAACAATAGCTGCCTCAACACAGTGCTATCAACCTTCCGTATTTTCCATATTTGTACGGAAAATCACTACTTCGTCCGCGCTATGGATTTTGAGAAAATGTACGGAAAATTGAACGGGATTGATCAGTATGTATAAGCATTGCAAGTGCAAGCTGAGCGATGAAAAGAAGAGAACCGAGTGGAAAGAAAACGCTGCAGTGGAGAGTCCTTAGAAAAGACTTAAAAAATATCATAATATCGCTGCACGAGATCATCCTTATAAGTTATAACGTCAGCTGATCGTACTGTGGTTGATTCATACGGCGGTAAATACACCCTGCCTACACACGCTCTCTAAACTGAAAGGTTATTCTGGCACAGAGCTCTCCTTCCCGCCCGCCACCACCATCATCAGTTCGCGTCTGGCGCCTAGTCGACGCAGGGTGAGTGGTGTCCGACATAGCAGGCTGGTACATCAGGTAGCGTATGGCGCATAGCAGATGACACAGCAACAACATAGCTTGATTGTGACGTACCTTTCGTCCCGGCTGGACTCATCAGGCAATCTTCTTCTTAGATGTCTTCACAAGGAGCTTGACTCGGGAGAGTGAAGTCGGACTCCACTGCAACTGCACTTATGGTTGGTTCATATGGTGGTAAATACACACCTGGCAATATGGGGGTAAATACACGCCTGCCCAGACACGCTCTCTAAACTGCAAAGTTATTCTGGCACAGAGCTCTCCTTCTCACCACCACCACCACCACCACCACCACCACCACCACCACCACCACCACCACCACCACCACCACCACCATCAGTTCGCGCCTGGCGCCTAGTCGATGCATGGTTAGCGGTATCCGACATAGCAGGCTGGCACATCAGGTAACGCATGGCACATAGAAGATGGCAACGACATAGCTTGATTGTTATTTACATTTCGTTCTCTTGGTTGTGCTGTAGCCTGAAAAAGAAAATAAGACAATGCATCCACATGACACAGACAAGTAATTACTGTTACAAATAGTGCATACTGCTTGATTACAGAGAAAGAAAGTCAGTGGTCACACAAGTTTTTGGTCGTCCCTGAAACGAAGATCGTTCCAGGGGGGGGGGGGAGCTAAATCTCAGTCGACTGACGCTATGCATACACATGTGTAGGAGTTGCATTTTGATATAAGTATATTTTTCGCAGCAAAAGAGTATTTATTTGTAGAGCTTGTGTTGATACAAATTCCTAGGTTCAAACCCCAAGATGGGCAGTTAGTTACATTTTTTCTCTCCTTGCGTATTTTGTATCTGCATGTTATTACCCTTTCCGTGAGTCGCTCGTGAGTAATGTATGAGTCGTGTATGGCTAAACCCGTATTTACCCGTATGACTGTCTGTTGTGAACTGTGATTGGCTGCTACTTATTGTTCTAGAACATTAGCATAATTAACCAATCACAGTTCACAGCTCTGGAATATTCTAGAATTTCGTCGGCGACCGGTTTATATAGATTGCTCATTGGTTGATGACCTAAAAACATGGCTGCCGCTCGCCGTGTGTTTTGTCTTCTTGCATTGTTCTTTTCTTGTGCTTTTTCACTTCTTATCTTTACTTGCCGAGTGTGCAACTAATAATTCTGTCCTAACGAGTATTCGTGAAACCACAAAGTGAGTGCTTTGTTTGAGTGTGTGAAATTGTCTCCGAGGGCCAGCTATTACATTGGTGGCAGCGGTAAACTATAATAGTGTGTATATTCGTAGTGTTCAGTTCAACCCGTGCATTTACCTGTTCAGATGGCGCAGCCTCAAGCAGCAGCAGCAGCAGCAGCTCCGGCCCGCCCGGCGGCTTTAGGACGCCCAGTCATCTTACCACCTGAGTTTACCGGAACAAGCAGCGAAGACTGGCTGACATTTATGGGCCAATTTAACGTCGCCTGTCAGGCAAACGGATATGCGGATGATCAACGCCTGGATTTCCTGCCCTGTCGTCTCCGCGAGGGGGCGTTTCATGTCTACCAGACATTCCGGGCCCAGCACCCGAATGATGCCTACGAGGAGCTGTGCGATCGTCTCACTGCGTATTTCAACCCTCCGCAGCATCGCCCGTCGTTCGAGGCCGAGTTTCGGGCAAGAACAATGAAAACAACTGAGAGTCCAATGAGGCAACCTTGCACTGTGCCTTTGCGCACACACGCTCAACCTAGTAAAAAGGCAACGCCTGTTGGGAGTTCCCTAGTAAAATAACGAGAGAGCTTGGAAGCTCAGGGCCCTACGCTATGCTTTTTTGCCTTGATGACCTAGACAAAAAAAAGCATAGGGATGTTATAAAATTCTTTAAAAAATTCCTTTTTTTTAAGACATAACCTGGGATTCGAACCCGTACTATCGCGCCCTGCATGCATCCCCCGATACACTTCGCATACATACTAATTCTTCCAAGTTGCTTCACATTATGATCTTGCATTTGAAAGCCCTATTTGAATATGCATTGTGGCCAGCCGTCTTTGATGGTACGGTACGGTAGGGATAGGTACGGGACAGGTACGATCGAGGGTAATACGACACCGTCTCCCGTACCGTACCATCAAACACAGCTGGCTACATACAGCTGGCCGCAATATTCAAATAGGGCTTTCAAACGCAAGATCATAACGTGAAGCAACTTGGAAGAACGGGTATGAATGCGAAGTGTATGGGGGAATGCATGTAGGGCGTATGGTGCGGGTTCGAATCCCAGGATATGCCTTAAAAAAATAGGAGAATTGAAAAATTTATAACATCCCTATGATTTTTTGCCGTCAGATACGGAATAGCGCCAGGCGTGACACAAACAAACACACAAACACACAAATACCAAATTAAAGCTGTGTGGACCCTGGCTAGCGCCAGACGTTACTGAAGTAACGTCTTCTGCATCGCTACGGGAATAAATTCTACTACTACTACTACTACTACTACTACTACTAGTCCGGTGGAGTTTGCGTCTGCGTTGCAGAAATTGGCGTTAAGGGCCTACCCAGGCCAGGAAAACACGGACCTCTTCCAGCGTTTACTGGTCAATCAGTTTATCGATGGCCTCTCTTCTCCAGAGCTTCGCCTTCATGTTCGAAGTGCCAGCCCGAATAATTTGGCACAAGCTGTGCAAAGGGCTCTGGAAATGGTGGCCATATTCGACGCAGAGCAGCGTCGGTCGAACGGCGCCGCGATCGCGGGTGGGTCGCCGACACCTGCGGCCATATTCGCCGTCCGCGGGTCAAGCACTGCACTCCCGCCTGCTCCATCAGCTTCCACTACCGGTATGGCGTCAGCCTCAGATGGTAGTTATAATGTTCATGATCAGATGTTTGTGTTGGACAAGAT